AATAGAGACGGATAAAAACTAATAAGCTATCGTAGATAGGAGTGGACATCAGTCCGACCAAATCAAACAAACCAGCTAATTTTTTTTTTTTTTTTTTTTTTTAGAAACCTCGACGGTACGAGGAGAATTGATATCGAAAAAAAGGTACACCTAGTCATGAAGGATATAAATCTAACTCCTCATAATACAAAAAAAAAGGATTAAAGATATATGGAAAAGAAGGGAAGACATAAATCTTATCCTTCTAGAAACAAAAACAACAAAGATATAAGGTAAAAAGAAGGGGGGCATGAAATCTAACCCCTGTAAAGGCGATCTTAAAGATTTAAACCTGCAAAACAAAACACATAACATCACAAGGTTAAGAAAAAAAACCAAAAAATGAGACAAACCTGTATACCGAGATGCACATTAATTTGAGAAGCGAAAACTAGAAAAGCCAACATAATCTAAAAACAAAGCAACCCAAACTGCCAACGTAGGGAAATCATGTCATACCAAAATTGGAGAAGACCATCTCATATTAGCAAAATTGTCCACAAACCTGCTAATATAAACTGCTGTGGTTGCAAAGGTTTTGGTTTCGTTCAAAGAAAAAGTAAAAACGGTTTTAAAACCAAACCAAACTATAATGATTGATTTCGTTAAATTTTTGAGCCTGTGTAAACCAACCTAAACCTAAATGTACCAACTACTTACATATTAACCGTTATATGATTTTGTTTTACACGTGTACTTTCTATTAGCTATTAATTAAGGATTTTGAATTTGAAGGTTGATGAAATATTGAAGTTATTTAGGAATTCTAACGAAAAACTTCTAGTACTGTTCTATTTAACGAAAAATCATATTTTTACACTAAAAAAGCAATCATGATACTATTCACTTTACCTTTTATTTTGTCATTATCGTTAAAACTCAAAGTTTTCAAGTTTTTTTCATCAGTTTTCCTAAATTATTATTCTTCGAGTTGTAACTCTAGTAGTTACTAAACTTTGAACCTTGATGGCATGTAAGATTTTGGGGCGGTTTGATGTATTAGGAAATAAAAATGTGGCAAATTATGATATTTTTGTTATTTTAACTAGGTAGAAATTCAAAAAAAAAAAAAATACAATTAATATTTATTTGGTTTGGTTTTGTTTTGTTTTCGTAAGAATTAAAATAGATCAAAATCAAAGCGTTATTCTTTTATTTTTATTTTTTTGGAGTATGTTAAGTCTTACAAAAATAATAGACTAACCATAATGTTGTAGTTTAAATTTACTTTTGTCGAAAATTAAACCTAAGATCTCTCAATTTTTTTTTGAACAAACGATATTACCTACACTAAGTGGAGGGGTGGCTTAGCCTCATAATGGGTAGCAATAATGTGGTTCAAATTCGCCTGTGACGAGAATCGAATCTAAAACCTCTCATTTAGAAGTGAAGAAGAATGCCCTTAAACTATGGTACTAAGTGGCAACCTAAGATCTTTCACTTATAAACAAATAAAAATAACACTAAATCGTAGTACTAAGTGATCATCAAATCGTTATACTTAAGTGATTTAGTTAATTTTTTATTTGTAAGACCGATTAAATCTAGCCCGTGTCCACCCCTATTCGTCCAAAGATTGGAGGATGTGGAAAAGAAAAGAAAAGAAAAGAGTGCACGCAAGACTGAGTCAAACTCACATGCAGCTAGATGGAAGACATATATTAACCAACAAGGTACTCATCTTTTGGTGAGGATTCCGAAAATCTATAAATCGTGTTTGTTCATCGTAAATGATGCAATCAGTTTTTGTCAGATCTTGTTTATGTTTAATTTTAAATAAAAATATTTAAAATAATTTATGATCGTATAATATACGATGAAATGATCCAATTCACAGATTTTCGAAATTCTAAAAAACGAATCAGGCAAGGATCCGATTCAGATATTAACACACACATATACAGTAGGTAGTAGCTAGTACCACAAGCCCAACTTCCCAAGTACCCACCCACCTCCCACTACCACCACTTAGGACACATCGATCGAAGTGGGCCCATACCAAACAACCATCCCTACTCCCCTAAGCGTCAATCACGCGCGTTAAACCCCCATGACCAGTGGTAGTGCGCTCCATGTGATTTCATTTCAAAACAACTTTGCATGGCCCTCCTGGCTGCGGCGTGCTTGACCACCACTCCAGCGCCACCACTTCACCACCACATGCGGCAGACAGTGGCCTTACTGGTGATTTTATGCGGGTCCCACACTTTCAATTTTTAAGAACAATTTACATGAAGGGATTCACACATCTGTTTTTATTAATCGATGTCATATTGAATAAGTCTAACATAATTTATAGTCAAATTAAATAGGAATGTGTAAGAAGCTAAAAGGTATAAAAATCACTTTCCTACATTAGACGAATTCTACAATGTAGTTATCCAATTTAATAATGCAAAATCATGTGGTGTCATAATGTTTTGATCTAATAGTACAATGTCATGAAAAGATTTTGATACAATGATATTACGACATGATACCTTCTCATCCAATAATACAATTTCATGGAAACGAGTTCACTCCTAGTTGTTGAGATTAACTTATATGAAATTGAGTTCACTATTCAGTTCACATAGAACAATCATGTAGCAGTTCAATCTAATAAAACAAAGTTAAAGAGATTTCATTCAGTAACAAAAGGTCACGAAAGTGTTTTAATTCAATAATACAATTATATATAAGAGGAATGTAAATGAGACTCTTTTTAAAATAAGACTATTTGTCATCTCATATTTTTTATAATGTTTTATACAGGTAACACAGAATTAACATTAGATTGTAAGATGACAAAAAATTCATAATAAGTCCGTCTTTTAAGAGAGTACTAACATTTCTCTAAAATATAAAGGAAAAACTTATACATAGAACAAAAACTCGTTTCATAAACTCTTCTCCTACTTCCCACATTGCCATATATATATCTTCAGAACAATCAGCCTATGTGTAAATAAAGGACAAGGAGTGTATGCCCTTCCATTTCCAATACCTTTTCGTACCTTTCTATTTGTGTAATCATGATTAAGCCATGTTAATATTTTATATTACTATTTATTTCTATCTTATTATATCTATAAAAAAATAATATAAAATATTTACATAGCTTACCAGTTACCACACAAAATAGAAGGATGTGAAAGGATACCGAAAGTAAGAAGGTAAACAATCCTTGTTCGTAAATAAAAGTGAGATATATCAAAACTCAAAAGCGAAGCAAAAATGGGCCACGAGGGAGTCTGCCACGTGAAAAGCATGGTCCCACTAATTAACATCTGGCGAGGGGCATCGGTGGTGCTGCTTCCCTCTTAAGCAAACCCTGTGTCTGTCACTCTCATAAAATCTCATTCGTCACCTTTTTATCTCCAAAACCAAACCAATTTCGTTTCCTTTTGGATTGTCTAATCAAATTGTCGACAGTTTTTCTATTTAAACTCCACACCCCGTATAAATTTACCCCCAACAAGTTCTTTTTTCACTTTAAATTCCAATTTTAGCCTCTTACTTAACAGTTAAACACCCATAAAAACTAATAAAATAAAAAATGAACTGTTAATTTAGTCCCTGAATTATCATTTAACTGAAAATTACGTCTCTAAACTATTTTTTTCATTAAAATAAGTCTTGAATTATAAAAATCTGCCAATTACATATCTAATATTATATTGGAGCTACTATATTCAATTTTTTGGCAATTTAAGTCACATTACTCTCATGCGATCCACATTGAGGATAAATTAGTAATTTTACATAATAAAAAATAGTGTGAGAAGTAACAAATGATGTATGAGAAGTAAAAATGAGTGTGGATAGCACACCCCTTTCCTTTTCCATTTTTTTTAGTTTAGTTTTTCTAGGGCGGGCCAAATAAGGCTACAATTGAAATTTTAAGTGTAAAAAATTCCAATTTTTTGTTTGTTTTTTTTTTTTTTTTGGGTTGAACTTAGACTGAGTGTGGGGTTTAAATAAAGAAATAATGTTAAGAAGATCAACTATTTAAATTAAATTTCGTTAGAATGTGGTCAAAAATTCATAATAGAGTCCTCCCACAATAACTGAATTGATTAGAAATTATATGATGCGATTGTTAATAATTGAATTATTATTTAACTGTTGAATAACATTTTTATTTTCTATTAACGACACATTACACTGATTTATAAATGTAATAAAAATTTGGTCAACCGACATTACTCATAAAAAAACTCAACAGTTTGATAATTTCTAAGATACTAGTTTTTATTAAACTAGCAAGCGAAGAGCATCAAAAAACTATTTCAACTATTTACAGCATCTATTGGAGATGAATTTTCAAATTTAACTCTTTAAAACAAACTTGTTATCTTACAGCATCTCTTAATTAATTAATTAACTAACTAAACCTTGCTTTAATTAACAACTAAAACAAACATAATTAATGGTTAATATGTGACCATGGAACTAAAATATCCATCTTTCGGACTTAGGAAAAAGCAGAAGTCGTAATAAGCAGCTTCTTCTGGAGCTTTTTGAACTGCCATATAATTAGTATATGCTTTTTAGCTTCAATCTAATACAAGTTGAATAGAACCAAGTCGGCCAAATATAGATGCAACTTGGAACCAAAACCCAAATCCCTCCGCCCCAAAAATCTAAAGAAAAATTAAAGAACAAAATTTGAAAATTGTAGTTTACAAAATAAAAAAATAAAATGAATAGTATCATGATTAACCTTTTAGCATAAAAATATGATTTTTCGTTATAATGAACAATATTAAAAAATTTTCGTTAAAACTTCCAAAATCTAAAGCATGATTCTACAGCCATAGTAACTTCTCGTGTCAATAATATAGTCATCCCATTACATCTCATGCCAAAAACACCAACCAAGAAAGTCACAAATTTTAAATCACCGGCACAAAACGTCACGATATCAGTGCCGTGCACGTGACAAATAACTCAAAATAATTAAGGAAAAACAATGGAAATTGCATATAAATACATCCATTTTATTATTATAAATACTAACTGCACTTGCATGGCCATGGTGGGTGGACTGGATTAAGATTGGAATCCAAAACTAGGTCTTAACCCTTTTTAACAATTCAGACTTCACTGACAATTTTTTCTGAGATCCCAAACACAACATTATCCCAAAGGACTAAAACAAAAGAGGGATAACAGTCCAGTCCACCACTGGCCTTGTTCCTTGACAAAAGCTGATTCTGCTAAACCCTAAAACAGCTTGTACCATATCCACTTTTCAATCAAAGTAGACATTTTATTTTTCACCCTAACCCTAATCCAAAAAACATTTTCTTCTTCTTCGTCTTGTCCAACCGGTTTTGCTGTCCTGTCCTTCTCAAAAGCTACTATTATCTTCTGTACTAAAACCTCCTACTACTGTAAAATAAAACCCCTTAAAAACCCTATTAGCAAGCTTGCATTTCCTTGCCTCCCTAAAATTCCCAAAATCCAAGCAAAGCCCTAATAAGTCCACTCCTGAGGGAGCCTAATCTCGCTGCCTACTGCCGCCTGCGGCCGAATGTTGCGGTTCTGGTGCGAAATGGCGGTTCTGGCGGCAGCGTTGCTCCGAAGCTGAAGAGCAACCTCTGCAAATTCAACGAAACAAATGAGTACACAAAACACAAATTGTAAATTTAAGATGGGCATATCAGTAAAACTCAAAAAAATAAAAAATACAAAAAAAAACAGTAAAACAAGAGAAAAGGTGTAAATTTTTACCGTAATCAGAGTTCAGTTTGCCATTAAAACGACGCTGGAGCTGGGGATGTTGCATGTCATCAATGTTCAGGTTCAGAGCCTGCACGACTCGAGCTGGAAGTAGAACTGTGGAGCAAACTGTACCAAAAAAACACAAATTTCAATCAGCCACCCAAATCGAAAGAGAAAGTGAAGACCAAATTAATGCCCCTTGAAGAACAACGCCCAGATCTGAAAAAACCAGAGCTAACAAAATTTAATAACATTCAAATCTCAACCACCCAGCACCCAGAAAGTCGTCCAAAAATCTTAATGATGTGACCCACAAGCTAAAAAAAAGTGAGTCCTGGGTTTTACTTGAAGAGTCGGATTTTTTTTAACTGGGTTTTACTTAAAAGTGAAATAAAATTGTCCGGAAGTGAAAAATGAAGTGGGGGCAGAGAGGGGGTGGACCTGGCTTCTTGCGGGTTTCGGATTCGGTGCCAACTTGGCGGGGTAAGAAGACGCCGGTGCCGGAACGCTCAATTTTGGCAGATGGGTATTGGCTTCCGAGATAAACCGCTCTCAGTCCGGACCCCTTTTTGTTGTACTCTTGTTGCTGCTTAGCTTGTTGCAGAGGCGGCCATGCAGATGGCGACAAACCCACAGGCCGAGCGTTGAGAATGTTGGGAGTGTTGTTTCTCGCTCTGGTTGGGAGGTTTGGGTGGGCCTGCAGCTGAGTCTGCGGCGGAGGATATCGAGTTTGTGCTCCCCAGACCGCCGCGCTCTGCTCCTTCATCATCTGTTGCTGCCTCAACAGCTTAAACTGTGGAAAAAACGGAGCAGAAATCATTTGAGTGTGAGGTGTTCGATAAAAGTCCCCAAAGAGATTTGAATAAATGTTTTGAGTTTTTTTTAGTACCTGAGCGGCTCGCAAGTGCTTGTGAGAAAGCGACTGCTGGTGGAAGCAATAAGCAGCATCTGGGTTGTTAGTTGGGACCGAGACGGGGGAAGGCTTTCGTGGAGGATCCAGGAGGCCTCTGCTTTGGTTCATGCTCATCTTGGCAACTTCCCCTGCAGCTGCATGCAGCAGATCCCAGGTGGCCGGCGGCGACTGGGAGTTTGGGCTTCCGCGGCTCGAGCCCTGTCCGCAACCGCAACCACTGCTGACTGCGTAGAGAGTCGATTGGGGAGAACCAGAAGCGACCCAACCCTGCGAATCAGGCAAAAAATCAGAACCGCCATTCAAACGGCGTCGTCTAGAAACAAAACAGAAATTACTACTCTTTCTAATACCTTTGGCTTCTCGGAGGCGAAAGCAGAGTTGGAGTGCTTGAAGTTGAACTCGTCGTCGAGAGTAGAGTAAGCCATTTGGCGGGTCAGCCCGGCGAGGTGGTCTTCCTCATCGCTCTCAGTCTCGCTCGACTCAACCGGCGAACTGAAATCCGACGAAACCCCAAAAGTGCCACCGTAAGGAAACTCAAACGGCAACAGAGCCTTCAGAGCATCAGCGTCGAACCGTAATCCGAACCCCCCACTTTTCTTGGCGTTGGAGTTGAGCTCCATGGCGGGTGGGTCTTCGTCGTTGAGAATCTGGGTGGGGAGCCAAAACGCAAGGTCGTCTAACGTATCAGCCATCTGGGTAGTCCTTGAAATAGCTGAGAAGAGCAGAGAGAGAGAGTGAAGTGGAGAAAAAGAGTAGAGAGAGAAAGTGGGGTTTGATGGGTTTGAGATATGGGGTTTGCTGCTTGGTGAAGGTATAATAATGGCGAAGCCAGCTGGGTTTGATGGCCCTACAGAGAGACTTACAGGGACCCAGCAGATGGAGAAGCAGAGGTTAGTGAGAACGAGAGAACAGAGGAGAAGGAAGATATCTCTAGGACGATGAGCGGCTTTATTGAAAGTTGAGAGGAAGCCCCAAAGGCCTTTTTAACAGTGAGTCGGTTTATTAAGTTATTAATTTAATTTATCGAGCACAGAGAAAGTGAGGAGAGAGAAGAAAGCAGGAAGGAGGAGGAGGACCGAAAAGCAGTACGACGAATTCGAATGGCAAACCAAAAACGCAGAAGCAGTGAGTAGAAGAAACGCGTTAGCCAGCAGGGTGCTCACGCGGAAATGTGGACGTGGGTAACACGCGGGAACTCCCTAGAGGGGATGGTGGGTCCGGCTAGAAGAATTTGATTCCATTTCAGTCCTACTGTTTTCTTCCAAGAGCATTTTTCTCCTCCTTTAACTATGAAGTAAAAGTAATATTTAATATAAAAGTTAATTAGAATTAGATAAAAATATTTGTGATAGATGATTAGGTGTATAGTAACATGCAACATAGTTTATAGTGGTGAACAAAAATTATGTCGTCGATTATCTTTAATTCGTTCAATCCGTTAGATAAAATTAAAAGAAATTTATATAAGATAAAAAAGAATGTATGGGTGTTACTAAAAAAGAGTATGTATATAATACCATCATTTTTTAGTGAAAATTGTTTTTGGTCGGTTCATGTGTTACAACGTAAATTGACGTCATTGATGATAATTTTTTCGAGCGATAAGTTTTATGTGTGGCAAGTTGTATTGTCATTGTGTTACTAATAAATGTATTGAAACATAAATGAACGACATGGTTGAATTTATTTATTTATTTTTTTTTTTTGTGTGACAATCACAACTGTTATAAAGTGTTGATAGTTCACATGTTATAACGTAACATTGACATGATTGGTGATAACTTTTTCGAGCGATAACTTTTATGTGTGGGTAATATCGTCTGGTATTACTAATAAATATTTGTAATATAATGGACGACATGATTAATATAAGACAAACTTGGCCCATGTTTGAAAATTAAGAATGGATTGTACTAGATAAAACACTAAATTCAATTTATTTTTTAGTACGAAATGAATGTTAATTTTGGAATTTTGTCTAAGCTGAAGAAATTAAATAGATTATAATCCTTTCAATTCTCTCAAAAGAGAGATTATATTCACACACCCCAAATCACTTCTCTCACACTTTTTTTAATTCGTAATAGTTTCTAAAACAAACAATATTATCTACACTGAATGTTTTAATTTTTAATATTTTCTTGAACAAACAATATTATCTGTACTAAAGGAGAGGGGGTGGGTTTACCTCACAATAGTCAGCCATAATGTGGTTCAAATTTATCTTCGGTGAGAATCGAACATAAGATATCTTACTTATAAATGAAGATAAATATCACTAAATAATAGTACTAAATGACTGATATACTAAGTTATTTAAATTCAATTTAATCATAGACACCTGACATAACCACAAACCGATAATTAATCACACAACCCGTCATATTATAATATAATTAAACAATATGATGATGAAACAATCACGCCGATAAATCTCTTAATTTAAGGGGATGTGAGTGGGGCCCTTGTTCTGAGGGATGTGAAAACCCCTATGCGTGAAAGTGGTGGAGACGTGGAACGTGAGAGAGGGAAGTGGGCCAGTCACTCACCCCTCGTTCGTTTAGCGGTTGAGGCGCAGGATTATAAAGCAGCACAGTACCGACTCTCTTATTGGACCGGAACCAGGCCTTAATTATGAGAATTTTATAAGAATTAAAAATCATAAAGAGAAAATAATTTAATTATTTTTAACAAAGAATTGTGAACTTGCATAAGAAGGGCATTTGTCCTCTGCATGCTTCCACTTGGCATTTCACCGCCTCATTCCCCTCCATGCAATGTAAACAAGTCTGCTCTCTCACTGCAATCTGCTTTTGTCTCTTTGGTCCCTCTTAATTTTCTTCCCTTGATTTTTTGCTTTTTTCTAAAACGAGGAAAAACGGATGGCTTCGCACGACAATCTACTTTTTTTAAGGTCAAGAAAATTTATTGAAGCATTTCAATCTTCTTTAGGTACTATCGTGCAATATACCTGTAAAAATTGAAACGACCTATTAATAGAACTCTCTTTTATAAATTAAAAGAGAATGAAAAGACAATTTAATCTTCTATCTCAAAAAAAAAAAAAAATAAATAAAGACAATAATGTAATTTTACAAAACTAAGTTTTACTGTTTTCTATTGAAGCCTCATCTACATGATTACATATGATTTTACCATATATTAATATTAAAAAATAAAATACAAAACAAAAATCTATCTTCCCACTCCAACTCTCACGTTCTCTCTCACCTACTCTCCTCTCATTTCAAAAACAAAAATCTTAGTTTGGATTGATTTTTTGCAAAGTTAATTTTTACATAGTAAAATATAATATTAACGTTTCTTATTATAAACACGAAATTTTAAAAACTAATCACAGAATATTTCAAAGATAACTTATTCTCATATTTTGAGTAACCAAGTTAATCCTTTTAAAAATCAACCTCAACCTAGTCATGTGAAATGTAATCAACTTTTCTTTTTTTTTTAAGAAAACTAACGAAAAGTCCAAAAAAAAACCTTAGTTTAAACGAAAAATGATAAATAAAGATGTAATGAATAGTATCAGAAAAATGTAAAATTTGATTTTTTGTTAAAAGTGAGTGTTTCGTTAAAACTTTTTTTTTTTTTTTTTCTTTTGATAATGTTGGTACTTTTCCTTTTTCCTGTTCTGCTGTGTGAGGTGAAATGGTTGGCATCAATCGGCAGGAAAACAAAAACATGATACTGTACCAAATTACCAGTTGGTTGCTTGCAGCTAAAGCCTGTGGGCAGATCAGCAGCCAGCAGAAACACGATCTCCGCGCAGAGGCCATGAGCCAATGGAAATAATTCCTTCTGTGTATTGCTGTGATGATGATGAAGTTGACAAGTTTTTTGGGCTCATGCGGATTTTTCTTTTTGGGCTTATGCGAATTTTTCTTTTACCATCATTTGCCGTTAAAGTGAGATTAGGGCAAGTTAACTTCACACCAACCTGTCACGTTTTTTAGGCAACACCATCCAATAGACTTTCTTTGTAATATGTTTAGAAATTTAGGAGTCGTTTAGTGGTTTGAATGAGATTTGATTGACTGGGATATGTAAAACAAGAGTTGTAACTCAATACAAAGATATGTTCGATAACAAATTTTATTATAGATTCATAACTAATCATATCCAGACATGTTCATTTTACATTTAGACACAACGAATAAAGGATTGAATTAAAGTTCATTTTTATGAGTCACAACCTAGAAGAAAGAAGAACTGTAAACAGATGGGATATGAATTGCACTAGTCAAGATTCGATTCGATTCAATTCAAAACAAAATTTGATGTGAAAATTCGAGGGATCAATTGATAAGCAAATCCATATCCCTAGAAGATTCAAATTACTCTTTCATATGTTTTGTATATAATAATAAAAGATATATGGGCAGATAATATGTACTAAGTTGGGTGGATCATCATAGCATCATATTCATATTCGGTTTCTTAAGCTAAAAAACTATTGAATTTGGATTATGAACGGATTATGAAAATAATCACTTTAGTTGCATCGAAACCAAATCATTCAGCTCAAAATTCGATAAATTGATAGGTCTAAAAGTAGCAGGAATGGAACAATGCCTCCTTAAATAATCTTCTAATTTTCACTTTTAAAGTTCAATTCTGATTACAAAGCTATGTACTCTTTAGTTTTCCCACTTTGATGAATGAAAATTCTTAGTTTAACAGACATCAGCTGACGGTATAGAGCTCTTTAACTGATCGAGACATTTTAAAAGATTATCAACATTATTTTTTCTGTTGCAAATGCTCCCACTTTGCATCAAATCACCACCCTCTGGAAATCTCTACATATTCAAAGAGATGTTCCATCCGAAAGCAAACATTTTTAGTGAGGGGACGGCGGACATATCCTCCCTCCTTTATCAAATGTTATTCTCATTTGCAAGAAATTTTTATTTAGATGGGAACACGAGTAGTACACTACGTGTTTTTATGTAAATGATGGGAAATTTTATTTTTTTAAGTTATTAACTTTTGGATTAATCTCAGTTTACTACCGTGAAGTTTCTTGATTTTCAACATTTGGTATATGAAGTATTTTTGTTCCCATAATGGTACATAAAGTCATAATTTTGGAACAGTTTCATACATCCGTTAAGTTTTCTATCATAACCTCTGTTAACTGATGATGTGGCACCCACGTGGACAATGACTGGGTGTCATGTGTCAATATGGGTTCACATGAATATTAAAAAATTAAAAATTAAAAAAATTAATAATTAATAATTAAAACAATTTATAATTTAAAATTAAAAAAATTAAAAAACCAAACCTAGACCTAAAAAACCAATATGGGTTCATCTCTCTGTTTCTTTTTCCCCACCCAACACAGAAAATCACGATCCATCATCTTCCTCCGCCTCTCCCTCTCCGCTTTCTTCTTCGTCTACGCCGCTCTGCTCCCAGCTTTCTTTTCTCCCTCTCATCCAATCCAGTGACCAACCTCTCTTTTCTACGACCCTCTCCCTCCCTTATCTCCTCGCTCAGCTCTAACTACCTTTCCCCCCGCACCTCGATCAACACCAATGTCGCCCATTCGCTCCAACAATCTTCCCTTCTCCACTGCTGCTTTGCCCTTGCTGCTTCCCCGATGACGGAAGATCTAGGGTTAGGGTTTTTGTTCTGAGTCGGAGTCAGTCCGATCTGACCGTTTTGCCTCTGCCATGCAGGAGATTGGCTTCCTCCAGACGCCGGTGATAGGATCTCGTCGTCATTTTCCATCGATGCAACTGTTATTCCATGCCGATTTGGATTGAGAGTAAGGATTATGGTGCCGTGCGCCGAAATGGAAGAGAGGAGAAAATGGAGGGAGGGGGTCAGGGTTGAGGTAAGGGACGGAACCCAGAAACTTTTTTTAAAAAAAATTAATTAATTTTTTTAATATTTATATGGGCCCCTATGACACACCCCAACCGGGAAAATCCACTTGGACTCCGAATCGAGTTGTACTGGC